AATTCCCTGACTTTTCTAAATTTTTCAGATAAAAATGAAAAATTTTCCAATATAAAAATGTAAATTTTAACATATTTAAAGTCAAGAAGGTTGTAGGAAGGCTAGCATATATTATTTAAAAATATATATAAATTTTAATTATTTTAATTAAAATCATTTAAAGTGTGCAAGTTTTGAACGTATTTCACTATAAACATCAGATGTAATTTTAAAAAATTATAACAATTATCTAAAATAGGAGCAGTTTAAAGAAATTGTGAGCAAATTTCCAGACTTCTTTACATTTTCCCCTGACTTTTCCCGGTTTTCCAGGTTTGGCAACTCTGAATTTGTACTTCAAAAGCGAATTTCAAGTGTAAAAAGCCTCGCTTTTACAAAGTTTCAATTTGACAATGAGATTTAAATGGCAGAAAGTAGTGTGATCGATAATTACATTAATCAATATCCGAATAAATGAATAAAAAATGAATAGGAATACTAATATAAATATACTTTTTTGGATTCATAGAGAAACGTTATAAAACGCGCTGTATGCTGTATCGAACATGTATTCAAAATTTCAAACAATTCTTATATACTAATAAAGGTTTCATAAAAACCTGTTGTTTGTTTACTTTTATAGTTTACTCTTTGAAATTTCAAACCACATTCAAAAATATTTAACAATTGAGTATTTTGATACTTAAAATATCAACTTGTAAATTATGCATTAATAATTTTTAACCAAATACGATTTTGATTGCGAATAATTCCTATATAAATATACAAAAATTATAGGTATCCATTTTAAAAAATCCACCTTGAACTTCATAATTCAAAAAGACATAAATAAAAAAAATTTTAATTATATAGTATGCTTTGTAGTTAATTCAAAGCTGTGCAAATTTTAGATATTAAACTTTCTTGTAAACTTCAACCAATTGTGTTTGCTCGAACATCTATGGACAATCACTCTCTATATCGAACCAATATAAATGCAATACACTTCTAATATTATATTTATAGAGGAAAGCTCCCTATTATGAAATAAGCGCCTAATATGAGATAACGGCGTTTCTGCTAAACTAATAGACACTATCTATTGGTTCCACCATGAATTTATTGCTCTTGGATTGAAAATTGTTTTGAGTAGAAAATTCATTATTAGATTATGCCTATAATCATTGTAAAAAAAAGATTTTAGATGTCTTCAAGTTTCATTGAGATGAGCCTTTAAACATTGTTTATTATTTAATAAATAAATATTTGGCAATAAATTTTTCATGTAGCGATAGAGTAAGGTCATATTAATAGAAAAATACGGGATATGTTGAATTGCTTAATTAGAAGTTAGATTTGATGATCGTAAAACCGTAAGGCGTGGAAATTGTAATATGAGATACCCAGGATATTCTAATATGAAATAACTCACGCTCTCATGTCATAATGAAAATCGTTGCTAAAGTATAAATGTCATTGTACAATAATAAAAAGAACAATGAATGTACGTTGAGTGCCTATTTCTGCGATGCTTGATTTCAAGTATAATATTATATTTGAAGACGAGTATAGTGGATATAATGATGTATCGGATACTCATTTTTCGCGCATTCTGACTGTGTTTGTTTGTATTTAAGATACAATTAAATAAAGTTTTTTAGTTGCAATACTAATATATTTTGCGTTTTACTATCGATTTCTCGCATCTCATATTAGAAGCACAAAATGATTGGATATAACAGAACAATAGGAGTCAAGCACGGTAATTCTTGTGCAAATCAATACGGTTAACAAAACTTTAATAATAATAATTAATCCGCTTACATGATTCAGTTACTTTTGAGCCATCCTCAGAGACAACATAATGTTGTAATTACAAAAAATTTTTGACAATTTTTTGACTTTGCAATTTGCTCACTTTTTACATTTCTTTAATTAAAAAAAAAATGGAATTTGAATTATTTCAAATAAATTTTGTATAATATTATCTTAAAGCTTATTAAATTCCCTTCAAAATGACATATTATTTTTTTAAATTTTGCTCACAGACTTCTAACATTTACCCAAAATTAACTCGATATCTCGTAATAGGAGCCTTTCCTACTACCAACATTACTAATTATTGAAAATTTACATATGGAAATAAAATTAAATCTAAAGAAATCATATCTAATATGTAGAATATAAACAAATATACGTTTTAAAAAATATTTTTTTTGTCTTGAATATGATTCTTTCTGTTTAAGACATACGTAGAACATTAAAAATATGTTTTATACGAAAAAAGGAATGTTTAATTTTTTTTTTTAACAATTCTGCTCAACCCTGACGGGATGAACTATAATAGACGCACGCAATGCCAATGTCGAGTCACGCTCAGAAAATTGCCAAGGGGAAAGTGTGTTATACGTGAACAGCTACGTATATACGACATATGTTTGTACAAAAATAATTACGCCTAGAATGCTAGTTGATTCAACTAGATATACTATAATATATAAAAGAATAATATAAAAAAGAGCCGTTAAAGTAATGTAAATAAGACCCAACTTACCGTTTGGTACGTATTAAACGAGGTGGGATTTATTGGACATGTGGAATCCTTCAGAACGTCATTTTCTTTTATACAGCAGGCATCAGGGACCATTTTTCCGACCATTGTAGTCCAATTCTTATTTTCGCTAAAGTCTCGATAATTTTCCACGCCGCAACAATGGAGCTGCAAATATTTCCATCAATATTGGACAATTTTGCCTTTCCCGTCTTTGATCGATACAATTTTTTTTTTTCCATTTACTGAGTCCTCGTAGACCCATAAGAAAAACGGATGCAGAAAAGATATTATGCGTATATTTATACACAAACGTCAGTTAAATTATCTTTTTAAATAATTTAAATTAGCAATTTAATTAAGCGTATTTATAATATGTAATATAATTATATGATATTTCTCTTGGCTCTAGTTTAAAAAAGAAAATTGTGACATTTCTCTATAACTTATCTGCTTTTCTATCTATTTTCTCCGTAATTCATCAAGACGCTTAAAACAAAATTCTGATGAGCATTTGTGATATGCAATTTCACTACAAAGTGGTATGAGTGCCGATAGCTCGTTCTGAGATATTCAGCTTTCACTTATATCAAACCGCCCATGCTACGCTCTGTGCAGTTAATGAATCACTTGGCAAATTAATTGCGTTTATACATGCAAAATACATAAAATCCAGAAGAATCAATGTACGATCAATTCGCGTGTCAGCTTGTCGAAATTACATTAACGTTATAATTAGTAACTTTACCTTACTCATGATACCATCCCACGCGACTGTCACCGTATCAATTTTATCGCTGGCGGTCGCATAATACTTAGCGATGGTATCCTTCAAGAAGTCCTGCGTACCTTTTTCGACCTGCATAATTTCATACTAAAGTGAATTTTATTAAAAAATATATATATTAATATATGTAGCTGATTATTTGCTCGATGTTGGTTTATTAGTAGAAATTAGAATACGCGCGAAATATATGATAATTATAAATACGCACGTCTCCTTTAAGTCCAAAAGCGAGGCCGACTACCACACACTCCAGGATCAAAACCACCAAGATTAAAATGCCGTACTGTAATCACAGAAAATGTTTTCTCCTTTTTGTGTAATTTCGTCCCAATACGCGCCCGATTTTATTAACAAGACGGTGATTTTATATATAAGGAAATAAATCGAAAACACACGACAGATTGCCTTACTATTTTCAAAAAAAATTTATTTTATGTTTTCGATAATTTTGTAAATAATTTCTTCTCTCAATTATACTAGCAATAACGAACATTAAGTATTTTGTATTCTATTATGTACATCATAAATAAGAGGAAAAGAAAATCAAAGAGAAAATATCATGTTATATTATTATATAATAATTAAACAGCGACATAATGAATTTTATATCGTTTGCACTGTCTTAAATTGATCAATTACTGGATATCTACTACAATCAGCAGTGCTGCTAGCACTGCTAGTTTTGTATTAAAGTACACATTGAAAGAGATGTAATGTCGTTTTAAAATTTCTTATTAAAAGTCGTATTTATCGTTCATTATTGACTCAAAGTTATTTGCATGTGAATTAAAAACGTATAATATTTCTATTTCTAAACACATAAGAAACACGTGAGAAAATTTGTAATCTTTATGTGTTTCGTGAATCTCAGTGATTTTACATTAGACTGCTTGCAAGTGCCATGTATACGTATAGGCGAGATGGAATTGCGAGCAAATTGTGTTTTATCAGAACGGACTTACGACACAGAGGAGACACCTGGACTCGAACATAGCGCCGCAATACCCAAGAAAACTGATAATGAACGTGAGAGCACCAGCGATGATAAGAATGTAGGCCATCATCTTGATGACATCGGCATCCGTTTTGGTCTGCAAAAACAGCAAGGTGCGATGAGAATACAAATCGTCCTGCAATGAATATTCATCACCGACCGTGGAATACAAGGTTGCGCGATATTACGAGCATCCTTGAATCAGTTGAATCTTTTTCCTGTCTAGAACTTGCGGGTTCATTATGTTACGCAAATTTATTTGTATTATAATAAAATTATATTTATTATAAACTAACATATACATGTTAATAAAATACATCAATAATAATTTATTAAAAATAATTAGACATTATTAATTATAATAATACACGGAATTTTTTCTTAAAATTTACTCTGAAAATATGGCAGTCGTGGGACAAAATTGTATTTCGAAGAATTTTTTAATGTAAATCTCTCTCATTCAATAAAACTACAATAAAATATTAAAATATTAAT